GGGAGATCTCTAACATGATTGTCCCGAGCTGGAGCCAGGTGTTTTTACGTGTTCAGGCCACCCAGGGGGAATCTAACATGGTTGTGCCGAGCTGGCACCACGTGTTTGTTACGTGTCCAGGCCACCAGCACGACGGTTGTCCCCAGCACGTTCTGTAGCGCGTCCTCTTGGCACGTCCCGCGGTGCGTCCCTGTTTCACGTCCCTTGGCACGTCGCCTGGCGCGTCCCTTGGACCGTTCCGCGGCGCGTCTTCCTGGCATGTCCCCCTGTCAATTAGCTCTGGGGCAGCTACTAGGTAGACGATGTGCTCAGGCAGCTCGAGCTTAAGATCCAGGTCAGTTCGGTCAGGACTCGTATGCAACGGAGGACTCGATCCACAACACTGTAGAGCACAATGGCGGCATGGCACATCGCAGTTCAGCACGGCGCAGCACAGCACAGCCCTCGGCAGGGTACATCAAGATCGATTCACTCACTCAGCATTGCAACTTGGCACGTTCCTTGGCACGTTCCGTGGCGCGTCCTGTGGCGAGTCCCCCTGGCACGTCGCGCGGCGCGTCCCCTGGCACGTCCCGTGGCACGTCCATTGGCACGCTCCGTAGCGCGTCCTTTTGGCACGTCCCGCGGTGCGTCCCCATGGCACGTCCCCTGGCACGTTGCCTGGCGCGTCCCTTGGAACTTTCCGCGGCGCGTCTTCCTAGCATGCCACCCTGTGAATTAGCTCTGGGGCAGCTACTATGTGCTCAGGCAGCTCGAGCTTAAGATCCAGATCAGTTCGGTCAGGACTCGGATGCAAAGGAGGACTCGATCCACAACGCTTTAGAGCACAATCGCGGCATGGCACATCGCAGTTCAGCACGGCGCAGCACAGCACAGCCCTCGGCAGGGTACATCAGGATCGATACACTCAGCATTGCATTTGCCCGTCGCCCAATCAGGTGTCTTTGAAACGTTGCCATGTCTTACATGGAATTATTTTCCGGGTTCGTGGGTCGATCATGTCTTGACAGGGATGGGATGGCGTGTGGGGGTCCTCATTGGTCTTGGTTGGTTGCAGGTCGCCTGGAGGAGAGGGTGTTCATCCGTAAGGGCTTCGCCCCCTGCCGCCAGCCCCCTCTCTATCAGAATGGGGCATGCCAGAGCTATGCTGGAATTTCTCTGCGCCGTTGTGAAACAATGTCGGGACCTCATGCGAGGGCGATTGGTAAGCGGCATATTCACAAGGGTTTATGACGCGGGGGACGCGAATATTATTCAATGTTCCAAGGTTCATGGCTTCGGGGGCGCGAATTTTGCATAATTTACTAAGGTTTATGGCTTCGGGGACGCGAGTATGGTATAGTCTTCAACGTTTATGGCCTCGAGGACGCAACTACTATTTACTTTACAAGGTGTTATGGCTTCAGGGACGCGAATATTAAGCAGATTACGCAGGTTTATGGCCTCGAGGGCGCGAATCTTGCGTAGGTTACGAGGTTGTATCGCCTCGAGGACGCGAATCTTGAGTAATTGACGAGGGGGTGTGGCTTCGGATACGCGAGCATCGTGTAGTTTACAAGGGTTTATGGCCTCGGGGACGCGAATCTGCGCAATTTCAACCACCGAGGAATTCTGAGAACCTTACCATGGCGCGGTACAAAATGCCGCTTGGGGCTCTCACCCCTCGCGCGGACAGCAACAAGTCACAGTAATGAAGCAGAAAGCCAGACTGTAACAGTGGAAACTGGAAATTGCAACTGGAACAGGGAGCAGCAATCTTCACCCTCGCAGCCTGGTGGCCCCGCAAGGGGGCCGGTGGATTCATAGGGAACAGTGATAAACCTTTCCTGGAGGGAAACAAGAAGGTTGCAAGAGGAAACCCGCTACACCACTCACGCCGTAAATCGCGTGCGGGATTAAAGGGTCAGTCTTTTAATTTCTGACCTGACCCTTGCAAGCTTTGGTGTGTTGTTGCCTCGCCGAGGAGTTTCGAAGAACGGCGATCCCGCGACCCCCTTGGATGACTAACCGTCCGATTGCGGGGGCTCCTTGGATCACCCGCTTACGGAGCAATGCGACTCCAGTCATCGCCTCGCAGTGCTGCGAGGAGTTTTGTGTTGCATGCGTCGGCATCTGTACGATTTTGCCCTTTCGCACTTTGAAGGAGGGGTTGCAGCCCACATTCGAAATCGGGCGGAGGCCTGCCCCCCGAGTCGGTCTCCTGCTTTCCCAACCTTGGCTGATCTGTTGTATACCGACCGGCCCAGCTGCAGAAGCCCGCGCGGAGAGATCGATAGATCGGTACTCTCGGCCAGAGCCTCTTTCCGGTCAGAGCCGTTCCAAAAATCTTTTTGATATGGCAAGTCACCCAGCATCGGTTCCAGGGACGGATTTGGGAGGACGCGCGCGGCCAGGGGATGGGGTCTGCAGAAACCTCACCAGACAGCAGAGGCGCATTCTACACGCGTCAAGGTACACAATGCACGGTGGCGGACATGAAAGAATCGTGGGTGGAGTGGGGGGAGAGACCAGGCCAGCAGCGAGCAACATCGTAGGCGGCATCACTCACCTGGTGGTCGGACGTAGGTCGTTGGCATGATGGGGAAGGAACATGGAGGGAAGGAGGCACGTAGGGTGAGTAGGAAGGGTAGGAGGTCATGACGGATGAAGTGCATGACGATGCAGATGCGGAGTTGGAGGGGATGCGAGGATATTGTTATGGACGCAGATAGTGTGTTGATGGCGATGCCAATGACGATCAGAACGCCACACCCTACGATATGGCGAGGACCAGTGTGATTACAACGACCATCATCATGACGATGATGTAAGCATGGAGGTGATGAGTCAAATGATGAAAAATGGTTGAACGAGGCTGAGAGTGAGACGGATGCGTAACGTAAGTCGCAGCGACAGCACGGGCAGGAGTGATAGAAGGCTTGGATAACGGTCATACAGATGATCATGATGATTGTGATGATGATGTTGCTGCTGATGACGATGCTGATGATGATGCTGCCGATGATGTTCATGAAACATGGTGACGATGCGCTGGCGGAAGAAACGAGGCGTATCATCAGGGTGATGCCACGAACGGGGGTAGTGGAGGAGGAGACGGAGGATGATACTGATGAGTTGGGAGGTGCAGGAGGAATGGAGTGCTTACGGTGATGGTAAGGGTGATAATGATGATACTGATGATAAGGATGATGTTGATGTTGATGATGATGGTGATGTTGGTGGTGATGATGCTGATGCTGATGCTGATGCTGATGCTGATGCTGATGCTGATGCTGATGCTGATGATGATGATGATGATGATGATGATGATGATGATGATGATGATGATGATGATGATGATGGGTGATGATGATGATGATGATGATGATGATGATGATGATGATGATGACGATGAGGTCGTTGTAGTTTTGACGGCTCCAAGTCCGAGTCGTTCTGACGGCTCCGTGGCCTGACGTTGGGCCTTCACAGGCCTAAAGATGGGAGAGACATCGGCTGCCTCGAGTCTTCGAGCCGCCAGATGCCTGGGCTCGGGCGCACGCAGCGGCCCCCCAGACTCAGAGGGAGGAGGTGCAACACCACCAGGGGGGCCACCTCCAGCGAGGAGGTCCACGATGCCGCATGCCTCCCCGAGCTGGAGGCTGGGGACGTCTCGAGCGAGAGGGGAGGACCACACCACCAGGCAGACCCCCCCTTGCTCGTCGCATCTCCTCGCCCTGGTGGTGTTGGTGTCGCCTTTCCATGTTCCTACAGACTTGTCCAGGAGAAAAGACCCGACCAAAGTCGCACGGGGAATCGGGCCGAGACGACGAGCAGCCCCCACGGCAAGAAGCCCCCAGGGCCACAGGCGTACAGAAGCCACGACCCTCGAGCCTTCAGGGGGACCTTTGGTCACCCCTCTACAGTCAGAAACCCCAATATGGACGCGCGACTTTGCTCAGGGTACCCTTGCGTCCTTGCTCTGGGTACCCTTATTAGGTCGCCCGCCGCCCCAAAAGTCCCAACTTCGACTTTCAAGGGTCTTGCGTCCTTACCGCGCGTCCTTCTTAGGGTTTTTGACTGTACGCATCATCCGACGATGCGTTTGATTCCATCCGCGGGCCCTCTAGAGTTCCCACGAGAAACGTCTCCTCGGAGGCCGAAGTCGAGCAGGCTTAAGTCGGGCATGTACCTCTACAGGAGGAGTAGTCAAGAATAATGTTAAAATAGTCTGGTGACCAATAATCTCGCTTGTTCGATTATTCATGTTTTGTTTGATCATGTGTTCCTCCCAAAATCCGCCTGTAGGAGGACATGCCCGATGACAGTAGGCAACGCGATGACAAAATGGATCACGACGCCAAAAGTGTGAGGGCCTCCCTCCTCCACCTCCCTCCTGCCACATGGTCCCCTCGTGAGCCCACTTGGCGCCCGAACCCATTCGGCCGCCGACCAGACTCGATCGAGCCCATCATTCGGCGGCCGAGCGGGCTGAATTGTCACTACCCTGTCGCAGCCGAGCCCTCTCGGCTGTCCACGGCTGTCCACTCGGCGGGGAAAGACTCAGACGCCGAACGGCCTCAGGGAGCCGGACGGGCCTAGAATCGAGGTAAATCCGTTCCAGAGCGTTCCGGGACGCTCTCCGAGCGTTCCGGAGCGCTCGGAACCGGCCGCGGCGCCCGATGCACTACTCTACTCTCCGCACCCGCCGATCTTCAGAGATTTCCGATTGTTGTCGGTCCGATTTTGTCTCGATACTGCCTTCGCCTCAGGGAGCCTTCCAAGGGTGTTGGCTTGGTTTCAGTTGGGCCTGTCCCTTCAGGAGGAGTCTTCAAAAGTAGTCAAGACATAGTCTGGGGACGATTTTTGACAATGTTTGGCAATTTTGGAGTGTTTGCTGGGGTATCTTTCATTTTTTGCCCAAACTCCCCCTGTAGGGGGGACAGGCCCGACCTGCGGCGTGGTGCGCGGCAGCCGCGGCGGCACGGCTGGCGCCTCCCGACTCGCCCCCGCGCGCCCGGCAGGCGCCGCCTGCCCCCGAGGTGGCCACGCCGGCACGGGCCCAGGAGCCGCCCCGAGCAGGGGCCCTGCCAGGGTGGATTCGATTTAAGTCGGGCGCGTCCCTCTACAGGAGGACTATTCAAACATTATTTAAAAAGATAATATGGGGACGATGTTCGAGTATGTTTTGACCATTGATGGGCGTTTTGTAGGTATTTTTCATTTTTCGACCAAAATCCGCCTGTAGGGGGACAGGCCCGACTTCAGATTAGGTACTCGTTTTGAGGACCTTCCTGGCGAAGCGTCCTGGCTCGCCTATGCCTATAACCCTACCAAACAATGTTCTAGAAACCTTTTGTGGTTTCCACGAAGTGTTCTTAGAACACTTCTGGCTGGGAGTCTGTCTTGTTTTATCGCATTGGATTTATGTTCTAAGCACGTTGCTTTTGTTCCTAGAACATTTCTGGGTTCTAAGAATATTTCGTGGTAGGACTATAGGAATGCCAGGACGGTTGGTCCCTGCTCAGGCCCTGAGTAGGGGCCATGCCAGGGTTGATACGGTGCTCGTTTGGGGGGCCTTTCTGGGGTCCACCTGGCGGAGCTGTTCGACTCTAGGTCGACTCGCGTTCGAACCAGGTTCGACTCGGGTTCGACTCGGGTTCGACTCAGGTTCGGCTCAGGATCGACTCAGGGTCGACTCAAATCGACGGACGTTCGACGTAGCTTCGACGCACGGGTGGAGCGAGTGTCTCCAGGAAGGTCCCCAGAAGGAGCATCCAAGGTTAAGTCGGGTATGTCTCTCTAGAGGAGGGATGTTCAAGAACAGTCAACAGAAGATAGTCAGGGAGCGATGTTTTCCCGACCATCCTGTGGTGTTGGGTCCTCGTTTTGAAGAGACGGCGCCCCGCGTCCCGCACTCCCTCACTCCTTCCTCCTCCCTCCTCCTCCCTGGCGCCCAGTACATCGTCTCGTGGCCCTATTCTAGGGAGCTCCACCGAAGGTCCCAGTGGAGCAGTCCGCATGCGGTTTCCCCGGCCTAGTGCAGCGTTCCGTGGTCCCATAGGGAGCTCAACCGAAGGTCCCATTTGCGCAGTCCGCATGCGGTTCCCCCGCCCAGTGCAGCGTTTCGGGGCCCCATAGGGAGCTCCACCGAAGGTCACATTTGCGCAGTCCGCATGCGGTTCCCCCGCCCAGTGCAGCGTTTCGGGGCCCCATAGGGAGCTCCACCGAAGGTCCCATTTGCGCAGTCCGTATGCGGTTCTCCCGCCCAGTGCAGCGTTTCGTGGCCCCATACGTAGCTCCATCGAAGGTCCGAGGGGCGCAGTCAGCATGCAGTTCCCCCACCCCATACATGTATCGTGGCCCCATGTAGAGCTCCATCGAATATCCCAGTGGCGCAGTTCGCATTCGGTTCCCCCGCCCAGTACATCGTTTCGGAGCCCCATAGGGAGCTCCACCGAAGGTCCCAGTGGAGCAGCTCGCATGCGTTTCCCCCGCCCAGTACGGCGTTTCGTGGCCCCATGGGGAGCTCCACCGAAGGTCCCAGTGGCGCAGTCCGCATGCGGTTCCCCCGCCCAGTGACCAGTGCAGCGTTTCGGGGCCCCAGGGGAAGCTTTACGGAAGACGATACCGACAATTGCGGTATTCATTACTGCATACGCCAGGCTAATTTAATATTTGACTATTCTTGCATATTGCTTCATTCCTGATAAGTTTGTCATCCAGAACCCGCCTGCAGGAGGACCCCAGACCTAATGTTCGGGGAATCCTTTTCCAGAGCCCACCTCGCGTCGTGACAAACTCGCGACGGGAGGCTTTTCGCTGTCGTTGGCCTCTGGGGGCCCTTGCCGGGCCTCCGGATTGTAGACCAGGATAAAATGACGGTCCCAGGGAATGGGTCCAGATCCCGTCCTGCTCCTCCTCCTCCTGAGCCTGAGTTCGAACAGCCCAAAGCATCACAAACTCAAAACTGTTGGAACTTCGCGCGGATGGCCTGGATTTAAGTCGGGCCTGTCCCTCTACAAGAGGAGTATTCAAAAATACCAAACATATCCAGGCGAAGGGCCCAACCATATGCAGATGTGGGTACCGTAATTGTAAATATCTGCTTCGGTGAAGCTCCCTATGGGGCCACGAAGCGCTGCACTGGGCGGGGGGGGAACGCTGTACTGTGTGGGTGGTGTGCCGAATTGGGTTTCCGGGATGCATGCGGACGGTCCCACTCAGGGCTTCGGTGGAGCTCCCTATGGGGCCACGAAGCGCTCTACTGAGTGAATGAGAATGCCAAATTGGGTTACCGGGACGCATGCGGACGGTCCCACTGGGGGCTTCGGTGGAGCCCCCTTATGGGGCCACGAAACGCTGCACTGCGCGGGCGAAAATGCCAAATTACATTTCCCAGACGCATACGGACGGTGGTACTGGGGCATTGGGTGGAGCCCCCTCTGGGGCCACGAAACGTTGCACTGGGCGGGTGAAAATGCCAAATTGGGCTTCTGGGACGCATGCGGACGGGGGCACAAGGGCCTTCGGTGGAGCTCCCTATGGGGCCACGAAGCGCTGTACTGGGTGGGTGAAACGCAGGGAGGAGGGGGAGGAGGGCCACGAAACGCTGTACTGGGTGTGCGGGACGCATGCGGACGGTAGCGCTGGGACCTTCGGTGGGGCTCTCTATAATAGGGCCACGAAACGCTGTACTGGGTGTGCGGGACGCATGCGGATGGTAGCATTGGGACCTTCGGTGGGGCTCCCTATGAGACCACGAAGCGCTGTACTGGTTGGGTGAAACGCAAGGCGGAGGGGGAGGGCCACGAAACGCTGTACTGAGTGTGCGGGACGCATGCGGACGGTAGCACTGGGACCTTCGGTGGAGCTCCCTGAAGGCCACGAAGCGCTGTACTGGGTGTGCGGGACGCATGCGGACGGTAGCACTGGGACCTTCGGTGGGGCTCCTTATGGGGCCACGAAACGCTGTACTGGGTGTGCGGGACGCATGCGGGCGGTAGCACTGGGACTTTCGGTGGGGCTCCCTATGGGGCCACGAAACGTTGTACTTGGTGGGTGAAACGCAGGGAGGAGGGGGAGGAGGGCCACGAAACGCTGTACTAGGTGTGCGGGACGCATGCGGACGGTAGCACTGGGACCTTCGGTGGAGCTCCCTATAATAGGGCTACGAAGCGTTGTACTGGGTGTGCGGGACGCATGCGGACGGTAGCGCTGGGACCTTCGGTGGGGCTCCCTATGGGGCCACGAAACGCTGTACTGGGTGTGCGGGACGCATGCGGACGGTAGGGAGGAGGGGGAAGAGGAGGAGAGGAGAACGCGGGGACCGTCTCTTCAAAACGAGGACCCAACACCACAGGATGGTTGGGAAATAGTCTGGGGACTTGTTTTAATACTATTGTGTATTTTGGGGTATTGTTTGATTCTTGTTCGTTCAAAATCCTCCTGTATGGGGACAGGCCCGACTTAAGCCTCGATCGGCGTTGGGCCCCCCTAGCGGCGGCTCCGCTGGCGCCGCCCCCGGCGCGCTCCGCGCGCCAGGGAGGGGGGTCGAGCGCCGATGCAGGAAGCGCGGAGCTCCAGCAGTTTCTGCAAATGCCTTGTTTTGTTCTTCTGTGCAGTACAGTCGGGAACTGCAGCATGTACATTACCAGTTGCGGGCTATTTCTCAATCCCAGAACTTCTTGCGGGTCGGGGACGACGTCGGGGTGGTGTGATGTATATTTGTTTTTCCGTTTTCCCGGGGAAACAACGAACAATGTATACACCAGGGTCCTTCATACACCAGGATCCGCTTCCCTGTGCGAGTTTCAGTGCAGGGCCAGAAAAAGCGTCGGTGTATAGAGTTCGGTTCCGTATACAGTAGGGGCCCGACCACAAGGAACCTTTTTCAAGAAAACCATCTCTGAGACCCCATGACGTATGGGAACGTCACGCTTTCCATTGCAAAATCATCGAAACCCAAGAAACCCAGAGCTTTTTTCGGTGTTTGTTCTGCGGGGGTGAATCCCGGAAAACACTCTAAACTTGCAGTTTTTGTTTCCCTGTTCGGAGGGGTCCGGGGCAACACTTAAACACAAACATATTTCTGGACCCCCCTCCGCAAAAACACACACACGCACACACACACGCACGCACACACACACACGCACACACACACACACACGCACACGCACACGCACACGCACACGCACACGCACACGCACACGCACACGCACACGCACACGCACACGCACACGCACACGCACACGCACACGCACACGCACACGCACACGCACACGCACACGCACACACGCACACGCACACGCACACGCACACGCACACGCACACGCACACACACGCACACACACACACACACGCACACGCACACGCACACACGCACACACACGCACACACACGCACAACACGCACACACGCAACCACACGCACAACACGCACACCACGCACACACACGCACCCCCACGCCACACACGCACAAACACGCACACCACACTCACACACGCACACAGGCACCCCGCCCCCACTCACCACGCACACACACGCACCCCGCACACACCGCACACACGCACACACGCACGCACCCACGCACCCACGCACCCACGCACCCACGCACCCACGCACACACGCACCCACGCACCCACGCACACACGCACCCACGCACCCACGCACCCACGCACCCACGCACCCACGCACCCACGCACCCACGCACCCACGCACCCACGCACCCACGCACCCACGCACCCACGCACCCACGCACCCACGCACCCACGCACCCACGCACCCACGCACCCACGCACACACGCACCCACGCACACACGCACACACGCACACACGCACACACGCACACACGCACACACGCACACACGCACACACGCACACACGCCCACACGCCCACACGCCCACACGCCCACACGCGCACAAGCGCACACGCGCACACGCGCACACGCGCACACGCGCACACGCGCACACGCGCACACGCGCACACGCGCACACGCGCTCACGCGCACACGCGCACACGCGCACACGACACAACCGACACAGCCACCGCAACAGGACACACGCACACACGCACACACGACACACGCACACAAGCCCACCCCCGACAAACGCACACACCCACCCACCCACCCACGCTCCACGCCACACGCTCACACGCACTCACGCGCACACGCGCACCGCGACACGCGCCACACGCGCACACGCGCACACGCGCACACGCGCACCCGCGCAACACGCGCACCCGGCACACGCGCACACGCGCCCACGCGCGCCGCGGCATGCGTCGTCTGTCTCACACCGGCGCTCGCCACGACATCAACGTACACGCACTCGCACACGCACACGCCACACGCACGCACGCGCACACGCGCACGTACGCGAACGCGCACACGCACACGCACACGCACACGCACGCGCACGCAGGCGCACGCGCGCACACGCACACGCCACACGCACGCGCACACTTACACGCACACGCGCCCGCCACACGCACACGCACACGCACACGCTCTCGCACACGCACGCGCACGCGCACACGCACACGCACACGCACGCGCACGCGCACACGCACACGCACACGCACACGCACACGCACACGCACACGCACACGCACTCGCACACGCACACGCTCTCGCACACGCACACGCACACGCACACGCACACGCACACGCACACGCACACGCACACGCACAGGCACAGGCACAGGCACAGGCACAGGCACAGGCACAGGCACAGGCACAGGCACAGGCACAGGCACAGGCACAGGCACAGGCACAGGCACAGGCACAGACACAGGCACAGGCACAGGCACAGGCACAGCACACGCACACGCACACGCACACGCACACGCACACGCACACGCACACGCACACGCACACGCACACGCACACGCACACGCACACGCACACGCACACGCACACGCACACGCACACGCACACGCACACGCACACGCACACGCACACGCACACGCACACGCACACGCACACGCACACGCACACGCACACGCACACGCACACGCACACGCACACGCACACGCACACGCACACGCACACGCACACGCACACGCACACGCACACGCACACGCACACGCACACGCACACGCACACGCACACGCACACGCACACGCACACGCACACGCACACGCACACGCACACGCACACGCACACGCACACGCACACGCACACGCACACGCACACGCACACGCACACGCACACGCACACGCACACGCACACGCACACGCACACGCACACGCACACGCACACGCACACGCACACGCACACGCACACGCACACGCACACGCACACGCACACACACCACACACACACACACACACACAACAACCAGTTCGGTGTTTTTTCTTTTTCGGGGGGGGTCCTGGAGCCCACAATGACAGACAGGCGTATTTTTGGAGAAAGCAAAAACCAACTCGGGTGTTTTTCGTTGATTTTTCGGGGGGGCGGGGAGGGGGTCGGTGGCCCACAATTGAAAACAAACATGTCCCCGATCCCCCCGAATATCAAAAGCCCGAACACCACCAACTCGGGTTTTCGTTCCCAACCATCCTGTGGTGTTGGGTCCTCGTTTTAAGAAGAGAGCGCCCCGCTTCCCTCATTCACTACTCCTTCCTTCTCCCTCCAACCCCTCCTCCCCCCTCCCTGGCGCCCAGTACAGTGTTTCGTGGCCCCATAGGGAGCTCCACCGAAGGTCCGAGTGGCGCAGTCAGCACGCGGTTCTCACACCCAAGACAGCGCATCGTGGCCCCATAGGGAGCTCCACCGAAGGTTCCAATGGCGCAGTCTACCGAAGGTCCCGGTGGCGGAACTCGCATGCGGCTTCTGCGCCCTGTACAGCGCTTCTTGGCTCCATAGGGAGCTCAATCGAAGGTCCCAGTGGCGGAACTCGCATGCGGTTCCCCCGCCCTGTACAGCGCTTCGTGGTCCCAGAGGGAGTTCCACCGAAGGTCTCAGTGGCGGAACTCGCATGCGGTTCCCCCGCCCAGTACAGCGTGTCGTGGCCCCAGAGGGAGCTGCACGGAAGACGATACCCACAATTGCGGTACTCACAGCTTCATATTGTTGGATTCTTCGCCAGGCTATTTTTTGGAGGGTTCCAGGGGTTCATAATTTTAAACATATCTTAGCCCCACCCACCCCGACAACTCCACACAGCTTGTGTTCTATACACAAGAACTTTCGGACATCTGAATCAAACATAAAAAACTACGCTCGAATAGGGGTTTTCTGGGGGGTTATCCCGAATTGCGATTTGGAGGGTACTGCTCGATCGCCCCCAGGATCCGCCGAAAGAACTCTGGAACAACAATGAGTGCTTTTGGTGTTCCTTGTGTTGTTTTCTGTATTTGATATTCGTTTTTCAGTGAGGGTTGAGGTTTTTTGGGGGGGGTCAACCTGGTTTTGTTTTCAATTGTGGGGCCCCAGACCTCCCCAAAAAGCTCCCAAGCTCCCCTCTCCCTGGGCTCCGGGGGTGGAACCCCCTGAGACCCCCCCCAATTCGGATGGTTTTCCGAGGAAGTTCCAGGGACCTGATCACACCAGTCTCTTCCTGTGAATGTCAGACGCCCATCGCCTTTTCTACTCATCCGTTACAGTCGCTGCCGCTGGCATCAGACAGCAGCCCTCGCCCTGCTCCTCCCTGCTTCGTTCTGCCTGCTCTCGGCGCGGCCCTCTGCTCCGCCCGCTTGTGTGTGTGCGTGCGTGTGTTGTGGAGGACGATCAATGGACAGGAAGCATGTTGCCAAATAACTTCCAGATGTCAAAACATGTGTTAAGACTGTTTAATACATGTAAAGCCATTTTTAAGCACGTGTTCCATTCAATGATAGGATTGTTAGAGTGTCCATTGTCGTGGCATCCACAATGTATGTGCATGTGTTTTTCCGTTTCTTGCTCGAGACCCAGCCTGGGCGGGACAGCCCGGAGCGGCGAGCCTTTCCCCGGCAGGAGCCCGTCGCGGACGCCGGCACCACCGAGGCTCTCTCCCCCCGCGCGCGCGCGGCCGCGGTCGAGGCTCGCCACGGAGTGGGGGTGTCCGAGGGCAGTGGGTGCTGGGCCCCAGAGGAGGAAAAGGTGCCCATACTGCTACCCTCGCTCCATGTTTTTACTTCCTCGGCCTCCTCTGGGAGGCCCTCGTCGCCACCGCTGGATTCGCATCGAAATGCTGGTCAGAACGCACCCCAGGAGAGGTCCGGGGAGTAGCCGTATCGGTACTTTTTGATTTCCCCAGTCCCGAGGGAAACGAGTCTTCAGAGGGGGCCGATGCCCTAGGGGGTGGGATATCCTGGAGGGGGGCATGAGATGTCTTCCAGATGTCATGGCCCCTCTCCTGCTTACAGTAATTCCGCACCCTGGCTTCCCCCCCTGGGCCGCGCACGTGCCTGGGGCCACGACGTGCGCCCGGCCCCCTCCTGGCCTCGCCGAGCGCGCTCCACGACCTGCAGAGTGACTGCCCGCAGGCGTCCGAAAGGCACTTGTCTGCCGTGACGCAATGTCTCGCAGATCCTCCGCGGGGGATCCGGGCCACCTGCGAGCAGTTGCCTGGCGAGCAGCGGGACGCGCTCGTCCATGGACGCCCCCGACCTCCGCGGCCCCCCGCGCAAGAAGGGCGGGGCGGGGGGCGCTCCTCGAGCTCTGGCCGCGCCTCCCCGGGTCGGGGGCAGCGATCTGGGGGGGGACAGGGCCCAGGGTTACGTCGGGCCTGTCCCTCTACAGGGGGAATCTTCAAAAGTAGGCTAAACATAGCCAGGGGATGATTGTTTGATTATGTGTTAGGGCATTGTTTGACTATTTGCTGTTTTTCGTCAAAAATCCCCCTGTATGGGGGACAGGCCCAACTTAGGCCCAGGGGGGAATTGCCTCGACCCCCGATCGCCCAGCGATCGCCGATGGTGTTCTGATGGCCCCAGCCCGCCCCGTGCCTGAGTGCCCCTGCCGCCTGTCCTCTCACAGGGCGGCTTGCCTTTTTGTTTGCTGATCCTCCCTCTTTGCCGCCGCTGGCTTTCTCCTCGGTGCTTCAGGCCATGGTCTCACCCACCTGGCCTGAGGTGGGCCTGGGCATCTGTCCGCAGCGGTGGCGTGCTTCGTTTCGTTTCGAGGCTCCGGGGGGGAGCGCGTCGACTCGCAGTCGCCCACTGATCGCCGATGGTGCTCTGATAGCCCCACCCCGCCCAGCACCGTGCGGAATCGCCATCGTGGGCCTATTGCCGATCTGTCGGCGATGCACCGTCGATTCCAGGTCGAAGGTCCCCCCCTGAGCAAGTTCCCCCCAACGTTCCCCCTCAGCCCAGGGTCTGGGCGCGAGTCACGGGGGTCAGTTCGGGCCGGGGTCAGCCAGTCCTGGTCTTCAGGCGGATTGCTGTTCTCAATGCTGGCGATTCTCTTGCATTTCGCCCTCCAGGGCTGTTTTGGGGCCAGCTCTGGGTCCGGGACTACATGCTGCCCATGGTCAGTCTGTCGAGACGTCTGGGGACTGCGGATTGACAGGGCCAATAGGCTGCTGGTGTCAGCCCGTGCAGTAGGGGAACGCATCATGACATAAACATGCAAACTCGGGGGTCCGCGCGGACCTCAGAGTTTTTATGTTTATGCCATTCCTCGTTCCTCCAGTTGTGGAGGACGATCAATGGAGAGGAAGCATGTTGCCAAATACTTTCCAGATGTCTAGAACATGTGTTGAAACAGGTAAACAGTCTAAAAACATGTTTCGAACATGTTCAGGACATTGTTCCGACATGTTAAACACATTGTTAATTCGATGCTAGGACTGTTAGGGTGTCCATTGTCGTGGCATCCACAATCCTCTAGACAGGGGTCAGCCAAGGATGGCCTAGGTTTGGCAGCCGCGTGGCCCCCCCCCCTACTCAAGGAGGCGCCTGCGACGCCATGCTGCAGTTTGCTCTGCGCCCCCCTCTGGAGGGTCAGGGTCGAGGCCTCCTGCGCAAAGCGGCGGCGCCACCGTCGCGCTCGGCCTTCTGTGGGCCATCCTGGCCCCAGGCCCTGTCGACGGGCCCAAGAGAACACATCACCATCATCATCATCATCATCATCATCATCAGCAGCAGCAGCAGCAGCAGCAGCAGCAGCATCATCAAAGGCCGCCGCGAGCTCGAGCCAGCGGAGGCGCAGCGGCCTCAGAGGACGCGCCCACCCTTGCTCACGCAGTCTGCAGAGGGCCAAGCACCCCACCCGCGCAGGGCGATGTGCACCGGCGCGCGTGCTCCGCACGCCGTACCGTGTCGAGTCCGACGTGAAGAAGGGCAATCGTCCTACGAGCAGCTCGACAAATGCCTCAAGCTGACCGCAAGCGAAGACTCCACCAATCGCACCAAGGTCGCGGATCTCACGCGCTACTACACCTCGAAGACCAGCGATGTGACGATCAGCCTGAAGGAGCACGTCAACTACCCGACGACCTTGTTCGACCGCAACATCACGAATAGCCGCGCCATGATGTGCACCGTGCTGATCCTCAGAATCGGGAACAACCAGGGGATGGTTGACGTCGGCTACGACAAGATATACGACATCTACGTCCCGCCGCAGCACCTGCGCCTGTTCGACGGGCCTGGCCTGGTGGTCGACACCATCATCAAACTGAACATCTCCCGCGAGACGCTGCAGCAAAACAAGATCTTGCGAGCGATCAAGAAGAATATCGTCAAGAAGTGCCTCGAGATGTTTGCGGAGATCGCCGAGAAGAAGGACGACTACAAGAAGTTCTACGAGCAGTTCGGCAAGTGCCTCAAGCTTGGCGTGCACGAAGACCCCACCAACCGCACCAAGGTCGCGGATGTTATGCGCTACCACACTTCGAAACCTGGAGATGAGCTGATCAGCCTGAAGGAGTATGTGGACCGCATGAAGGAGGGGCAGAATGACATTTACTACGTTACGGGGGAGAACATCGCAGCGGTGTCGTCCTCGCCTTTCCTGGAAACGCTGCGCAAGAAGGGTCTTGAGGTCCTCTACATGACCGATCCCATCGATGAGTACTCCGTGCAGCAGCTGAAGGAGTTCGACGGCAAGAAGCTCAAGTCGACGACCAAGGAAGGTTTGGACCTCGAGGGCGAGGACGAGAAGAAGAAGCTGGAGGAGCTGAAGGCGGAGTTCGAGCCGCTGACGAAGCTGATGAAGGGGGTGCTGGGCGACAAGGTGGAGAAGGTGGTTGTCAGTTCGCGCATGGCGGACTCGCCCTGCGTGTTGACCACGCACGGCCTGCAGCCGAAGCCTTTCGTCGAGGCCTGCTATGGCTTCTGGCAGGACGGCGACTTGCAGATCGCAGGGCGCATCCACCGCATGCTCAAGCTTGGCCTCAGCAGTGAGAACAACAACGAAGGCCTTGGAGGATGGAGACCTGCCCCCTCTTGAGGACATCGCGGGCGCCGCCAACGAGGCATCGAAGATGGCAACGTCGACTGAGAGGCTGTCTCACTTCCCTCTGAGCCACGGCCACATTGCATCTTTTTTACGTTAAGTGAGTCGGGCACCCGCTCGCCTGCGCGCATGGAGCTTTGACGTACTTGCGACTCGGATCGGCCACCGCCAGTCTGTCGTAAGCACCCGCTCGCATGCAAGCTAGATACACGGTCTCTGGCTGTGCGTCGAAGTCCCCCGAGTGCACTCGCCCCACGCGGGTTTATCGGGACATGACTCTGTTATGCTCTCTGCGACGGACCGCCAATTGCAGACGAGTTCATTCTCTGTTGCTGCATACTTGGTCTTGATGTCGAGGAAAAAAGCAGCATCATCATCACCACCATCATCATCGTCATCATCATCATCAGCAGCAACATCGTCATCAGCAGCATCAGCAGCATCAGCAGCATCAACATCATCAGCATTATCAGCATTATCAGCAGCATCAGCACCAGCATCATCAACATAATCAGCATCATTATCGTCATCCTCATCATCAGCATCATCGTCATCAGCATCATCAGCATCAACATCATCATCAGCGGTATCATCATCGTCGTCATCAGCATCAGCATCATCATCATCAGCATCATCATCCTTATCAACAGCATCATCATCATCGTCACCATCATCGTCGTCATCATCATCATCAGCATCAGCATCATCATCAGCATCATCAGCAGCATCACCATCATCAGCATTATCAGCATTATCATCAGCATCATCAGCATCATCAGCATCATTATCGTCATCAGCATCATCAGCATCAACATCATCATCATCAGCATCATCATCAGCATCATCATCAGCATCATCATCGTCGTCATCAGCATCATCATCATCAACAGCAACAGCATCATCATCAGCAACATCATCATCAACATCATCAACATCAGCAGCATCATCATCAGCAGCATCATCAGCATCATCATCAACAGAATCAGCATGTTCAGCAGAATCAGCATCATCATCATCATCAACATTATCAGCATCATTATCGTCATCAGCATCATCCGCATCAGCATCATCATCATCAGCATCGTCATCATCAGCATCATCATCAGCATCATCATCAGCAGTATCAACATCGTCGTCATCCGCATCAGCATCAGCATCCGCATTATCAGCATCATCATCAGCATCATCAGCATCATCCGCATCATCATCTTTATCCGCATCATCAACATCAGCATCAACATCAGCATCAACGTCAACATCGACATCAGCATCAGCATCATCCTCAGCCTCAGCATCATCCTCCTCATCATCATCGCCGCGCTCGGCGCCTTGGCGGCGGGCGATCGGTCTCCCCGGCGCGGAGGCGCGCCCTGACCCAGCCTTTCCTCGCCCCTCCTCGCGAAGGCCCGCGTTTCCTCCCGGGCCTTGGCCGCACGAGGCCCCGCCTTCCTGTGCCCTATCTCCCCAGTTAAAGCTGTGCGTAGCCCGCGTAGCTCTTAGCGGAAGAGGTTCGCTCTCGCCCCGCAGATCAAAAAAGTGTCCTCTCGGGCCTCCTCGCTTCCCCCCCTGGCCCCGTCGCTCGATGGGTCCCGTGCGGAGCCTCGGATGCAGCTCTGGGGGGGCCCAAATCTGACTCTGCCATGGTCCACTTCTCCCGCTCCGTCCTGCTCAATCCCCCCTGGTTCGGCGAGGCCGAACCAGGCGGGATCCGCTGAAGTCCGCGGCCTAATCCGCTGAAGCCGCGGCCTAATCCGGCGTAGTAGCCACCCAGTGGGGCTCAATTTTCCCTAGCCCTTCCGGCGAAGAGCTCCCAGTAGTGGTGTTCGAACGGAGCGCAGCGCCCAGATCTGGTCCAGAGGATGCTTGGCTTGGCTTGGGTTTGCCCTGAAGGCAAGTCGAAGAATAAACTAGCCACCCTCGTCCGGACCCTCTTCAGAGTCGGAGTCCTCGGACGCGGCCGGCGCTCGCTGTATTGCTGGCCAACCCATCGCGACCACTCGCGGGCGGTCCTCGACCGTCACCCCCAAAAGTTTGAGCACTTCGTCCCGCCCGCCCACCTCCCCCCGCCCCCAAGTCCTGATCGGAGGAGGAGGAGGAGGAGGAGGAGGAGGAGGAGGAAGAGGAGGAGGAGGAGGAGAAGGAGGACCAGTGTAAATCCACGAGTCATCAACGATGTTGGAATGAACCCTCCCTCCAAGTTCCCTCTTCATAAGCCCCTACAACGGTTCATTTCCATTGAGGGAACTGCCTCGTTGGAAGACAACCGGTTGAAGACCTTGAAGCATGCCAACACATTGTTTTCGGATTTTCAACGCCACGGATCAACCTGACTGCTGCGTTCTGACGATCTGGAATCGTGCCCGAACGCCATTTTGGGGACTTCAAATCTCGAATCCAACATTATTGTTGCACCCGCATAATGCTGAATCCTTGCAATACACCATGTCTGGTACGTTGATCATGGGGAACTGTGCAACTCGTGCAAATTGTTGTAACGAATGCGCGCGGCGCTAAGGCGAGAGCCACTGTTTGAAAAGGAACCGCCCTCAACCCGTGAAACATTTGCAACTTGGTAAAACGAATATGCGCGGCGCTAGGGCGAGAGCCACAGTTTGAAAAGGAACCGCCCTCAATCCTTGAAACTCGTGCACTTTGTCAAAATGAATGTGCGCGGCGCTAAGGCGAGAGCCACATTTTGAAAACCACCCGCCCTCAATCCGCGAATCTCTTGCAGTTTATTCAAACGAATGTGCGCGGCGCTAAGGCGAGAGCCACATTTCGAAAACGACCCGCCCTCAATCCGTGAATCCCTTGCAACTGTTTGAAACGAATGTGCGCGGCGACAAGGCGAGAGCCACATTTTGAAAACGACCCGCCCTCCATTATGAAACTGTTGCCATTTTTAAGCTTCAGAGTCATAAGTGGTGAGGAAGTCTCAGGCGAAACGCCCGGCCGCCCTAAAAAGTGGCCTCGGGTGCGACAGGGAGAAGTTATCTATAAGGAAAAGGAATCGAGGAGGAGGAGGAGAAGGAGGAGGAGGAGGAACGATAATGAGGAACAGGAGGGCGAGCATGAGGGCCAGAGGCCCAGGGTGCCTCTTGGAGTCTCTTCGGATGTCTCTTGAGAGCTTCTTGGAGCACTTTCGGGGCGTCTTGGGGGCTGAGGAGGGGGAAGAGGAGGAGGAAGGATAATCTCCGATAGCAGGGCAGCAGGAGCAGGTGGAAGATCCCATAGCAGCGCAGTCGGAGGGCAAGGATGAAGAGGAGGAAGAGGAGGAGGAGGAGGAGGAGGAGGCGGAGGAGAAGGATGAGGAGGAGGAGGACGAGGGGGAGGAGGACGAGGAGGAGGAGGAGGAGGAGGAGGATGATGAGGAGGAGGAGGAGAAGGATGAGGAGGAGGACGAGGAGGAGGAGGAGGATAAGCAAAGTAGGAGGAGCGCAGCGGGAGGAGGTGGATGAGCAGAAGGCTGAAGAGCAGGATGGTCAGGAGGAGGATCAGGTACGGAATGTTCATGCGGCGTCGGCGCGCAGGCGCCGCCGGCGAAGGCGTTCAAGATTGAATTCTGCGACGCGGAAGCACCAGAGGACACGGTAACGCCACTGGATCCGACGGAATGCAGTCTTGAACGATGGAGGCCGCGATCGGTTCAAGCTCGACCGATCGACGCGGTGTCAGAGGCCCTTTCGCGCGCCGACGCCGCACGAACTTACCGTTAAGTCGGGCGTGTCCCTTCACAGGAGGAGTATCCCAAAATAGTCAAAACATCGTCTGGGGACGATGTTTTGACAATTTTTCACTACTTTTGAACATGTGTTGAGCACTTTTATGGTTTCCTCCAACATCCGCCTGCAGGAGGACATGCCCCACCTATGCCCATCACAGCAGCGCAGTTGCGCCACAGGCCCTCCACTGCGCCGCCACGCTGGCGCAGGGGGGCGACCCCGACGAGGCGCGCCGCCGGCGGGGCGCGCCGCACCGCCTTCGCGCGCGCGGAGGTGACGGTGGGGGGGGCCCCCCTCCCTGCGCCCCGATCGCCTCCCTCCTCGGGGCCCTGCGTCGTTCGAGCTCAGGGGGAGGTATCTCAGCATCCCTGCCCACCCCTCGGCGGTGGCCAGCCAGCGGCTGCAGCCATCGGCTCGACTGCTGCTGCGCCACTGGTCCCCTGGCCCCCTGCTCCCTCCCCCCCTCCTCCCTCCTCCCTGCCTCTCCTCTCTTCTTTTTCCCGGGGGCGGGGCCACAGTGACCTCCCAGCTCGGACAGGTGGCGAAGGTGGCACGTCGTGCGCCACCCTGCCAGAGCATGCACTCATCGAGTCCCCACAAGACACATGCCGACGTGGCGCGCGCGCGGTTCTCCTCGTTCCCCCCATCTGCGACTCCTGCAATGCGAACGCCGCCACCCGGCAGCGGTGCTCACGAGCCGCCTCGGGCCTGGCCCAACAGTGCCAAATTCGAGGGAGGGCTGCCGTTGGCACCGCAGCCTGCGACAGCGACGGGCGGCACGGCACGGCACGCCAGCTCCCCTCCGCTTCATGCGAAGGCACAGTTCGGGAACAAAAGCAATGACATGACCACGAACTTCCAGAGGTCCGCGCGCGGATTTCTCAGATCGGCGCTGGGCTCCCCCGGCGTCGCCTCCGGCGTCGCCCCTTGCACGCTCCGCGCGCCAGGGAGGGGGATCCAGCGCCGATCCGAGAAATCCGCGCGGACCTCCAAAGTGTGCGTTCTTCATGTCGTCGCTTGTCCCCCGTAACGGCACACTCCAGGGCCGATGGCGGGCGCAGCCTGGACGGCTTGCAGCAGGTTGGCCGAGCTCCTGAGGCCGCACCGCGACCGCCGAGGACGAGGCCGCGCGCGGACGAGCCCGCCGACCCCCTCGGCGAGCTTGGGGGCACCTCACTGTCGAGGCCTGGATGTTGCCTTGTCGCTCGGGCTGGCCACCTCCCTTCGCCCGCCCCCCTCCCACCCAGACTCCCGGGCATCACCGAGGGGGCCCAGGCGATCCACGCCCACCATAATCCCTGGATGCTGCCTCGTCGCTTGGGCTGGCCTCCTCCCGCCGCCCGCCCCCTCCCACCCAGACTCCATGGGCATCGCGGCATCGCCAAGGGGCCCGGACGATCCAGGCCCACCAGAAGACCCTGCTCCTGGGGAGGGAAGATCAGGAGGGGAACAAAAACACACAGACACAATTAATCGTCGATTCCCTCGGAAAATATGCAAAAATATGGGAAGTTGGGGGGAAGACGAAAATCAAAAAAATGGAAAAATATGGGAATCCTATAATTTGTGTATATGTATTTGTGTGCCCCAGGGCCCCTCCCAGCCAGCGGTCCACCTGGGGTCGTCTACCAGTGAGGGTGGAGGGGGATCACGACTTTGTGCAACGGGGGTGCTCAGCCTCACCAGAAGCCTGATCATCCCGAGTCCAGACCGATCGATCGAGCCAAGCTTGCATTTCGGGCTTATCCTTGACAAAGGCTGTTGACATCCTCCCTCACCGTCGTCGTTACAGTTCGTCTAACCATGCGTTGGGAGACCTCCCCGCAGTTTCGGGTAACCAGCGATGCGAAGAGGGGAAGGAGGAAGAGGAGGAGGAAGAGGAGAAGGAGGAGCAGAAGGGCGAGGACGAGGAAGAGGAGGAGGAGGAGGAGGAGGAGGGAGGAGGAGGAGGAAGAGGAGGAGGAGGAGAGGAGGAGGAGGAGGAGGAGAGGAGGAGGAGGACGAGGAGGAGAGGAGGAGGAGGAGGGAGGAGGAGGAGGAGGAGGAAGTCGATGTCGAGGAGGAGAAGGTCGAGGAGGGCGAGCTCGAGGAGGAGCTGGTCGACGAGGCGGGCAGGAGGACCCGGATCGGCCCGGAGGAGGCCTCCCTCCGCTCGCCGAGGCGGTGGCGCTGCTCCGGAACGAGTGCGCGGGGGCGGGGGCCCCGGCGCCCGCCGCGCTGCGACGGCGGGGCTCTGTTGTCGGAAGCGGCAGCAGCACCACCGCGGTGGGGCCACTTGCGGCGGGGAGGTCCACGATGCCTCCTCCTCCTCCACCACCTCCTCCTCCTCCTCCTCCTCCACCTCCTCCCCCTCCTCCTCCTCCTCCTCTCCTCCTCCTCCTCCTCCTCCTCCTCCTCCTCCTCCTCCTCCTCCTCCTCCTCCCCCCCCCTCCAACTTGTGGGTCTTGCTACTCCGAACTTTGGGACGGCGTTGGGGTAGCGAGCCAGTGGCTCGGTCCCTCGATTCGGCACCGACACGCCTCTGCCATGGCCTTCGCTGGTGGCGGCAAGGGCGGCGCTGGATCCTGGGGCGCGGCGGCGCTCGGCGACGGCGGCCAGGCCCCAGCCCCTTGGAGGGGCAAGGGCCGTGCCGCTGGCCGTGGCGCTGGCGGTGGAGGGAAGGGCAAGGGCGCGTCCGACGCGGCCCCTTGGGCGCCCAGCCAGGCCGCTTCTGGTGCTGCGCCGTGGCAGTCGCGCCGCCCTCCCTCCCGCCGTGCAGAGCGCGAGCTCAAGTGGCGATGTGCGTGGTGTAACTGTGCGCGCAACCTCGACTCCATGGTCTACTGCAAGCACTGTGGAGAGTGGCGCACCGAGGCGCCCAGCCAGGGCGCGGATGCAGCCTTGGAAGGCTCGGTGCGGCGGCGCCCGTCCGCCCCTCCGCGCGCTCTTCCTCCTGCTGGTGGTGCAGATGCAGGTCCTGCTGTCGACCCTAGCCTCACGGTCTCCGAGCTCGAGGACCTCGTGCGACTGGCTGAGAAGGCAGGGGACCAGCGCGTGGCAGGGCGCTACAAGCAGCAGCTGCAGACTCAGAAGGCTGGCGACCCCCCGCCACAGCAGCGCATCAGTGCCATCGGCGCCAAGGTTGCCGAGATCGAATCTGTTTTGGAAAAGGAAGTCCAGAAGCTTGAGCAGTACCAGCAGTGGGTGGCTCAGCAGCTGGACACGGTCGCCGAGCTCACGGAGCGCCTGTCCCTGGCCGACGCCGAGTACAGAGCTGCTGTCGCCTCTCTGGTTGGTGACCGACCTGATCGTGCTGCCTCCCCCGCTCCACCTCGTATCTCCATTAAGGAGGTGGTCGACGGCACTGGCAGCATCATCGACCTCATCGACGTTGACTCAGTGTTCGACGTGGACGGCTACGAGTGCTCGGACGATGACCGCAAGAACATCTCTGACCGCCGTGACTTGCTGCGGTCCCAGTTGCAGGACGTGGCCAAGGGCCTCTTCTCAGGCGCACTCGAGAAGCTGGAGGCCATCAAGGCCGAACAGGCCGCCCACGTCGCCCGCCTCACCAAGAAGCGGAAGGGTGTATCAGGTGAAGGTGTGGCTGCTGGCTCGGCGGCAGGTGCTACGCAGGACTCGGCCACCGCCAGCCAGGATCCCAAGGCGAAGGACAGAGACAAGTCGGTTGGCTTCGTGGACTCTGCACCACCATCTGCTCGGTCTGTGGGAGCCTCAGCAACACCTTCTACGACTCCAGCTTCTACCAGCATTCGTGAGCGCGCTGCGGCCCAGATCAAGGCTGCATCAGTGCGCGCCCCCCCTGCTGCCGCTGCTGACAAAGCCAGTGCGTAGCAGGGGGGGGCTCAGCGAGTTTAATTCAGATCAGTCTGTTGGCGGCGACCCGTGGAGTGTGCGTGGGCATACCCACGGGCACGGTCTTTCACACTGTATTCTGGCTTACGCCAATGCCCGCCTGACCCACTCCTCGTCGCTGGCTCTGGCCGCCCGAGCGAGAGCTAGGGTCAGGAGGGCGAGTTTTGATTCCTTGTCTCACCAGCATCTTGAGGCCCTGTCCCATTGCCCGAGTGGGGGCCCTGGCCAGATGCTCCCGCCTAGGCCCTTGGAGTCCTCGGCCCAGGCTGCTAACAGTTTACGTGAGACGGGGTGGGCTGGTGCCGTCCCCGTCCACAAGTTTTGCACCCCACCCCCACCCCCTGGGAGAGCTCAATTTTCCCTGAAAGTAGAGACGCTGAATTGCACTGCCTGGTCATCGCTGCAGCGATGGCTCCCGCATTGCACGTCGCACATCATCCTGCTCCAGGAGCACCACCTGCGCCTCGGCGATGAGGCGGACCGAGCTTCGTCTTGGGCCAAGGTCCACGGGTGGCAAATTCTTCTCACTCCTGCCCTCTCCACCCCATCGGGGGGGACGTCGGCTGGAGTAGGCATCGTGGTCAGAGATTTCCTTGGCCTTCGGCCCCCGCCAGGTGGTCACGTTTTGGTCCCTCATAGGGTCGTAGGTGCAATCGTCAATATTCCAGGCGGCGACGCGTTGTACGTCGCCAGTGCGTACCTCCACCACTCCCAGGGGCTCAGCGACCTGAACCTGGGGCTCCTCTCGCACGTGGCCGCAGCTTTGGAGGTTTGGGCTGGACCTTATATTCTGGGAGCTGACTTTAATATGGAACCGTCGGTTTTCCAGGAGTCTGAGTTTGCGAAGTCTTGTGGGGGACGTGTGGTGATTCCTGAGGCTGCTTCTGGATCCTGCCTTTCAACTGGAGGAACCCGCCTTCTGGACTTTTTCGTGGTCTCGCTGGGTTTATCTAAAGGTCTGGCGAAAGTTCAGGTTGAGCTTGATGCGTGCACATCACCTCACTCACCTGTGTCTTTGGAGTTCTATCCGCAGCTGGCGCAGCTCTACGGACTGAGGTTCCGCCGACCCCCACCAATTCCTGTGGATCCTATAGTTGGACCTCAGCCTCAGCCTCCTAACCGGGACTCTGCCAGGGCTCTTGGGCAGCAGCTTCTGGATGCGCTGGATTCTGGGCACACTCAGACTGTCCAGAATATGTTGGATGCTGTGTACTCGTCTTGGGCAAACCTTTCTGAGCGCGAGCTGGCCGACTCGAGGGGCGTCCAGCTGCCATGTTTAGGAGCACGGTCCAAGGCACCGCAGATGTACTGGGCGCTGGTTTTGGAGCAGGACAGACAGCCCCCAGTGCGACAGCCCCTGTGCTATGCAATCAAATGGCTTAGTTTGAAGTTCAGAATGTACGTTTCGTTGCTCGACGCTCCTGGCCCCGACGCGGTCAAGCAGGCCGGGGAGCTTCGTCGAGTCGTGATGAATCCACCCGTTTTCTTGCATGCAGGATTGGCCCATCATCAGCGGTGGTATGATGAAGTGTGTGCTGCAGTACAGAGCTCTCATGACTCCGACGTGTACGGGGCTCTTTGTGCTCAGCTTGATGTGGCTGTGACTGCTGCTGAAGCCATCGCCCAGCAGGAAGCTTTAGCTGGATGGAAGCAGTGGCTACTCGATAAGGTTGAAGCAGGTGCTAAGCGTGCGCACTCGGTCGTTCGTGGTTTCACTCCGTGGGCCCCGACTACGGCTTTGCTATCTAATGGTGTCGTCGTGGCTGACCCCCAGGCTCTCCTCGATGCACAAGCTACGCAATTTGTGCAACTGTGGCACGCTCACCCGCAACCTCGGCCTCAATCGGACACCTTTCAGCCTCAACCTTCCCTACCTCGGCTGGCTCCTGACGATCTTAGGGCTTGTAGTCGCAAGTTTTCCAGAATGACGGCTACCTCGGTCGACGGCTTTCACATGCGCCACTTCGCGTCGTTGTCGGATGCCTCGCTCGACCTCCTCTCAGTGATCTACACTGCCATGGAAGTGAGCAGCCTCATCCCGAAGCAGGCTGCGATCACTATAATGTCTCTCATCGGCAAGCAGGCTGGGGGCTTCCGACCCATCGGCCTTTTCTCCTCCATCTATCGATTGTGGGGCAAGGGGAGGAGAGGATACGCCACGCGATGGGAGGAGAACAATCGTCGCCCCTTTTTTGCTGCTGGCAAGTTTACCTCATCCACCGATGTGGTCTGGCGGCAGTCTGTGAAGGGAGAGGTTGGTGTTCGTGACGGCAAGGTTTCTGCTATTTTACTCTGGGACCTGGTCAAGTGTTTCGAGTCGATTAACCTGGACCTCCTCCTCCATAGGTGTGCCCAGTATGGTTTTGACATGACCGTCGCGCGATTGGTGGTCTCCATGTATAGCAATGCTCGTTTCATTACCATGGGCCAGATTCTGCGAGGCCCTTTCTATGTACAGCATGGCATCGTCGCAGGCTGTCCCTTCGCCACGACGATGGTGAGGATTTTCGTCATAGGCCCCCTCGACACGGCAGGCATCCCACGTACAGTTTCGCTCGACGTATACATCGATGACTATGGATTGTCGACTGTCGGAACCACCTCGGAAGTTGTATACGACCTGTCAGAGGCGGCTGTTTCATTGCACGATGCCATCGTGGACGACATAGGTGGCAGTATTTCGCACGACAAGGCCAACCTTGTGGCCTCCCATCGCCATGTTGCGGTTGCGCTGCGCAAGCGACTGGGAGCTCTGGCTGGCAAGCGAGTCGTTTCTTCTGCAGCTAACCTTGGGATCGATCACACTTCGGGCAGGCCCAGGAGGGCCCCGACTCGGTCCAAGGTGTTTCGGGTGCGTATGCTCACTCTCAAGCACAAGACCAAACGACGGCAGAAGATACGACAGGCTTTAGGAAGGCACTCCAGGAAGCTGTTTATCACAGGCCCTCTGCCTGGGTACTATTATGGAAGTGAGGTTCACGGGGTCTCCGACGCTGAATGGGGGCTTGCTCGGCGTGCGTACGGTCGCTGTATCAGGCCCAAGGCTGGTTCCCGCTCGCTCACTTCAGCTGTTATCCTGGATAAAGACCCTACGTGCTACGGGCCCATTGCGCCCATCCTGAGGTACGCCAAGGAGCTCTGGGGGACCCATATGCGCACTTTCTCGTTTACCCTGTCCTGGTCCGAGCTCCGTACGTCTTGGGGGTCCGTTTTCTTGGGACCTGGGCCCGACAACTGGAAGCAGGTCTCGGGGCCCATCAGTGCCATGAAGCTCAGTTTGCAGCGCATAGGGTGGTCGATGCCCAGTTTCACGGTCATGAGGGATCAGTTTGGCGTGG